CGATGAAGCGAGTGTGCAAGTGCAATTTTGTTTTGCGAGTAAATTGTTTCTAATATTAATAAAATTAAAAAAGTTTTTCCTGTAGCACCAGGCGCATCTAAGAAGTAAAACCCCACAGTTCCATCATTTGTTACTTTCATAAGAATATCAAATACAAATAGTGGAAGATTTGTTTCGATTAATTCTTTCAAATTGTTGAGATCATACAGTTTTTCTCAATGCAACTCTTGGTTAAGGCCTAAGTGAATTAATGCTTTGTTTAACATCATCAAGCACATGTCTTCAATTGAAATCAATGCTTTGTTGTAAATTTCTTTACTGATATTTACTGCATATTTGGATTTCCCATTCTATTCTGTATTACATTGACTAATAGCAGTCGTAAATAAAAACATTCTCCATGGCTTGGATGTACTGAATAAATTCGATCAATCGCACAAAACAAAAGCACACTCAGTAGAGTATAACAGAAAATGCAAGAAAAACACCACCGGCAAGGGCGGCAAATGGACATTGACATTGATTATTTTAATCTTATATGACTTGAAGTTATATTCTTTAAAGCCTTACCAATTTTATCGCCTGCCAAAAGTAAAACAAAAATAATAATATCGAGAAGCCGACTACTATTATTTGTATTAGTTAGAAAAGGGCTGTTTTTAAGGTTTTCCTGACGATTATTCGATTTTTTCTCGCCGTAAGAACCATCCTTGGACATAAACCAACTTTTTAAAAAAAGAATTGGCCAAATTGGTCCAGGCTTTGTTGAGTTATGCGCTTATCAACACATTTTGCGATCCATTTTTATATGTAAGATTAATCAATGAGCATAATGCACCCCCCTCGAAATAATCGAAAAGTGCTCATGCCTACCTGCTTGTACTAGTCTGTCAAGCTCTACCAGTCGCAAAAAACAATGTATAAAATTGGTTTTTCACTTACTTAAACTCATTTCGTTTGAAAACATATATTTCAATAAATATAAATGTGTACATATTTATAATTGGTTCTTCAATTAAAAAGGGATACCGGTTTTTCAAGACAGACAGACAGACAAAAAGTATTTATTTCAATAGTTGATCATACATTTGCATTGTTAGTTATCACATATTTTACTACCCATGGGTATTTTATATTACATAATTGATCTAAATATATACAGTGAATATTGTGAACACAGTGAGATGTGTAACAAATCGTGTGGCAAAAAAAAGGAAAGAAACTTTCTCTCACCGGTTTTTCAACGTTTAAAGTACGTGTACTATATCTAGAGAAACTGTATTTTAAAACAAATGCTGAATTTGAAGCACACTAGCACCATCTGTGATGTGCTGAAAACACTCATACTGAGTAAAGCGCATTTGTTCTATGATATGCCTATTGTTAATAAGCTGAGCGTTTTTCAACTTTACTTTACTACCACATAAAATTAAACATATTGGTAAATACAAGAAAATCTTATAAGTTTTCGATACTAATTAATTATTAGTCTAAACAATCGCACTGCCAGAATATACAACACTTAAAATTATTTCAACTAGTGAGCGCTAATAACTATTTAACACGAATTGTTATACCTAATATAGTCCAGACTACTGTGACCAGAACCATGTCAATATTTTTTCTATATCTTTAGCGTTGTATCATTTTGTTTTTTAAAGACCTTTAAAATGGCGTTACATTATATTAATACGAAGTCGGGTATACAATACCAGATTTTGTATGCGCACTTTATAAAATTGTTAATGAATTCATCTATAAATGTGAATAAACCAATATTTATATTTGTAGGAACTAAAACGATACCAAGAATATACTCAGTATACACGTTTCGGTGGGGAAGGACACAGTAATGATCATTTATTAATTGGAAGTTTTGTCGAAGCTGGGTTAGTTGTGGAGAATGCCAGTTCCATCTATAGCCTTCGAGTTGATAGTGCATTTACAGAAGTTTTCAAATGTGCAGAATCAATAAGAAAAAGCATTCTGCAATTAGAGTATGTTTCAATTCTATTATAACAATACATTGAGATATATATATGTAAAATGTAATTCATTCCACAGAAAATCTACTGCTAAGGAAACTCGGCCTGAGAAAACACCTAAAGTTAAACAGAAAATGAAAATCAAGCAAGATGTGTCAACAAGCAATTTTAATTTACTGCATCATATTAAACATATTAACATCAAACAAGATTCCAGTAGACGTGAAATACTTGAAGATGAATTAATAAGTGGCTTCAAATTTATACCTCCCTATCTTAATAAAAAGATACTAGAAAAGAAATCATCAGCTGATCCTGCAAATACTGAATATTTTAACACATTTAATGAAGTGACAAGTCACAAATTTGATTATTTGATCAATGGCAACCTTTTAGATGATTATGAAGATATGTCCGAAGATGAGGGTGAGGAGGAGGAAGCTCAACATGAACCTGGAAGACGACAAAGCTGCAGTGAAGATAGTATAGCTCCTTCTTTGGTTGATAGCGGAATTGGTTCATCTTGCTCTGCATCAACTATCCTCTCAGAATCAGAGAAGCAAGAATCTATAAAAGAGATGTTTACAGAGTTTTTGACATATCTTGATGACACAATTAATAATTTTTTGACTTCTGATGTTGCTTGTCAATTTGATGTTGATCATTTGATTGAAAGCGTTAACCCAATACGAAAAAATCTGGAGATCTTGATTGAAAACTCGAAAGATTTAACAAGCCACTCTAATATTTCTCCGTTCAAAAATATGCATAAGGAACATTTTTTTGAAAAGAATATGGCGGTCACAAATAAGACTTTGTTTTCTGGTAACGAAGTGCAAACCCCTGCATGGGCTAAAGAGGGCACAATTTCTGCTAATGTGAAAGAAGTTACAAAAGAAAGTACTGCCATGAATTTGAATACCAATGTCACAAATCAATCGGCTAACATAATTGAAGAAAATTCAAAAGAAAAGATGAACATGGCTCCAAAAGTATCAAAAGAGAATTCTGCAGGAACAGTGGGTGACCAGCAATTTTTACATGCTATTGATGCTGCTTCACAGAGAAATGAAAAAAATGCGCTTGCTAGAAATAAAATAATTTGTGTGGAAACCACAAGTGTAATTAAGCATCCTGCGGACCAAGCAAATAATATATCAAGTGATAAATCAAAACTGATCAATAAAATTGAAGCAAAAAAGTCTGCGGAAATCAATACTGAAAAATCAGTAAACAATATTAATGAAGCAAAAAAGAAAAATAAATTATCAAATAATATATCAGCTAATAATTTGTTTAACATTCCTTCGTCTGTATTAATAGCACAAAATGATTTTGATTATTCACAAGATTTATTTGAAGATTCTACAGTTGGAATATTGAAATTGCCTATGCATCATTTGCACAAAATTGAAATTTTCAATATTCCTAGTTCTCTTAAGCTAAAGGTAATTATTATTATTTTAAGTAATAGTATTAATAATTGATCTAAATTATTGTATAGGTAATGCATTTTTCTAATAATTTATGAGACTTTCTTACATGTGGGAGCTAGTATCACAAGGTTCATTTTCCAACAAATAGATATATATATATATATATATATATATATATATATATATATATTGTATGATTCTGAATTTGATGTTGACATATGTATTAACAATGTCTAGTAATCGGGCATAACATAAATAAAAAACATAAATTTCTTTCAAAAATTTATTTTGAATCCGTATGTTTCGGCTAGAATCCTAATCTTCATTCAGTGGAAACTAAAAATAAAATTAAAAACTAAAGCAATTGAATTGGAGTGAAAAGAAAAAATAAAAAGAATAAATAGTACTTACAATTAGTTAAGCTTAGTGTTAAATTCAAAGATTTTAATAATACATAGTATCAGGATATGTTGATGCACTACACTATGTAATATAAACTTTAAACTTGTAATTAGACAATATTTTCACAAAATACTAATTTAAAAAATCACAAATGGATAGTGTGTAATACATGTGTTGTTAATAGACTGGTTGAAGATATAATGGAGAAAAGACATTTTTTTAAAAAATATTTTTACCAAGATTCTACACATGTGTGGAACGAATCCTTTGCGCAACGTTTTTATTGTTTTGTGAGAAATTTAGAAATGCTATCTAAATAGAAGAGATTTGTGTCGCACAGTGTGTTAAGTTCATTTCGTTTATTCATTGTCTTATTATTATAAATAGTTAAAAAAGATCCTGCTATAATTTAAACGAAGAATTATAGAAGGATCTTTTTAGCTACTCATAACAATAAGACAATAAATAAACGGAATGAACTTAGCATAAATAAATATTGACGAGTTTCAATGAATGTTTGTTAATGTGTCCATTAATAGACTGTAATTTCAAATGTAGTTTAGTGTTTATTAATTTAAAGTGGGGAAAGTACTCATTGTTCAATTGACTTCATTGTTATTATTGGAAAATAATTTTTACTTCATTTGATGCATTCTTCAAAATGATATAAATAGTATATTGTATATATACATATATATATATATATATATATAATAGTAGTCTAAAACCACAAATAAATGATTCCTTTACCCTTCGTCGACTATCATTCCCATTACCGCTATTACCCCCCTCCTTTTTTTTTTAAGTATTCTTCTTTCCGAACGTCCATGCTTCTTGTTCCTGCGCTTTGGATAAAGATATATATATTGATTTATTGAAACTTTGTAGAGAAATCATGAGAGTATTGAAAAAAATGATGTTCCACAAAAGGTTGCAAAAATAAAAGCTTCAAGAGCATATATTGATACTGAGTCAGGTATGATGTTATTCAATTTTGCACACACATATTATATTATATTTTTGTTGTAGTATACTTTTGTGTTATAGATTTTATTTTCATTACATTGCATATTTTTTTGTATTAATCATTAGTTCGAAAAAAAATATTTTAAAATCACATCTATTTTGTAGAATATTTAATAAAAGTTTTTTATGATACTTAATATATTCTAGATACAACTGAAATTATAATCAATAATGTGACTGTCAAGGAAAAAAATTTACATAAAACTACTGACAGTACAATAAAGAAGAAAATTCCAAATAATAAAGAAGGTAATATATAATTTGGTTAACAGTTTTGAATATAAACTTTCTTATGAAATATTGTACATACAATTAACTGTGATAATTATTATTAAATATATTTGGTACATGAAATAACATGATAAAGTATAATACTTTTTAAATTATTGGAGAAGTTTTTCATAAAAAAATCTATATAATTTTATACTGACATTATTTTGTTTTTGCTTTTTTTTTTTATCAGCATACTTGTTGCTGTCGGTTTATGAGTTTGGAGTTATTTTATTTAGGAGTTAGATATATATATATATATATATATATATATATATATATATATATATAAAAATAACTCCATTATTAGGGTAGTCCTTAATATAGATGTTTTCGAATTTCCTTGCTTGCAGAGGCTCAAATGCTTCCAAATTGATAAAAAAAATTCTTTATTCTCAAAGTTTTAGCTCTTAATATTCACTCTAACATATTCTACACTCCAACCAAAGTTTCTTGGTTCTTCTTCTTAAGTAAATGTAATTTTTTATTTATGATCAAAATAAGCAAATACAATGTTATTCTCAAAATTTTTGGAATTATAATAATTGGAATAAAATAATTGAAATTTTACCCATGTTATTTCTATAGAATTTGGAAATATTTTGGTTGGAGTGCGGGCTATCTTTGAAAACATTATGTTTTATTTGAAACCATACATATATATATATATATATATATATATATATATATATATATATTCACACATGTGTGTGTTTATATATGAATACAAAATTTGAAACTAAGATTGTGTGTGTAAGAGAGGGAGAAAGAGAGTGATTTAAGTCTAGATATTAATTATTAACAATGATCTACTGAACTTTTTAGGTGACAATAACAATGGTGATGTAAATATGGATGCATCAAGTACAAGCAATGCTGAATTGCTAAACTCTATCGAGAATACTGCTTCAACTAGCAGAAGTAATTTTATATAATTATACAACTGTTATTAATTTAATCCTATCACATTTTTTTCACGTTTTTAGCATGCAATTTATAGTTTCTACTTGTTTTTTTTATTTAACTGTAGTTAAATAAATTAATTGATCACTGACTATTAAAATCTTTATTGACTATCGAAGCTTGTTGGTTCTTGGTGCAATAGTTTTAACTTTATCTTTCATGATTCTATGGTTGTAATAAAATTTTATACTACTATTATTATGTAAATCAGTACAGTATTTACTTAAATAAGTAGTTTATTTGCTTGCATGAATTTTATTAGACTTATTATTAAATATAATTAATATTTATACATTATGAATTATTTGTTATTATTTCAGCATTTCCAAAACATTTGTTTGATGACTTTGAAGATTTAGGAGTTTTGTCCCCGGGAAGCAATTTTTACCCAGATGTGGATTCACAGCCAAGTGAAACTTTAAATGGTATATTACTTTTGTTGTTGAAATATGTATTCTTATAGAATCTTGAAATAGAAATATCAATTTATTCAAATAACATCCACTCGGTTAAAATAATTTTTGGGAACTTTAACATTACTTTTCTATAAATTTATATGAAATATTTGCTTATATTTTGTTTAAAACATATCTTATAAAGATTTGAAATATTTCAATAAAAATATGGAAGAAATTTAATTTTGACATGTGAATTTTTGATGTTTGTATTTTTTTTATACTATAATAATATAAATATATTTTTTTCCATAGATGCAAATAAACCTGTAGAAAAAACTCTCAAGGAATTATTACCACAATTAGAGGTTTGTAATGCTTTACAATTATACGATTTAAATATTATCATTTTCTTACCACATGATATTTTGGTTAATTTCAGAAAGTATCAATGTTGACTAGATTAGATAAGGATCTGGATGAAATGTTGCTTACCAGACATGCTTCTTTTGATCAAGGCTACGCATCGGTTCCTGACTCTCCCTGTTACACCATGTGTGATGAAGACTATGCTGAAACTGAAATTAACAATTCTGTGGAATTATTGTTAAACAAACTCCCTAATAGATTGTCAGTTGAAAGTGGTGATGAAGGTTTTAGTGATATGGTTTCTCACCATTCTAGTGGCATTGAAATTAGTTCATTGTCTGATAAAACTCCGATATCTTCTACTCCTTTGAAGGCGGCATTTCTCAAAAAAACTAAGGAGGCTCAATGCCCTTTATCACCAATTATCAAAAAAATATCATCAAGAAATAGTACATTTTTTGAACGACCGAAATCATTGAAGGAGAAGTATTGCCGTCCTGATTCTGCCACAGATAATAGAATACAGCAGTGGAGAGATAGGATTACTTCAAAATTAGAATTTGAGCAAAGCAATATTTATGAACTTAAAGAATATAAAAAGTTTATATTGCACTGGCTTACTAAAATGAATGGCAAAGAGTGCTCTTTGGGAGATATTATTGCTTTCAATCCCGATGTTGGAAATGGTCGCTTCCTTCTTGCTACATTGCAACTGGTTTGTATTTAACAATTTTATTTAATTTTTTTTTATAATTTATTCATAAAGAAGTATAATATATTCAGCATTTTTATGTTGTATACTATCAATTATTATACACTATGAAATTGATATATGAAATGTAATTCCTAAAAAGTCCAGATATGCTAGTATACTGAATTCTCTAGAGCTTATGTGTTTTAATGTTACATTTATGCACTAGCAAATTTTTCAATTGATATTTATTGTCAAATTCAAGTCTTAGATATTGTATTATTATAGAGAATTCATTCTGGTGAGGTATACTGATATCTTGTTTTTAGAACAAATAAATGTGATATTGTGATATATCTGTTTAAAAATGGACAAAAATACGTCATTTATTTTGGTCATCTAAATTTTTTGATACAAGTAAATAATATACATGCACAATTGATTTACACAGGTTTTTTGTTTTCTAGATAAATGAAAAAAAAATAATATTGAACAAATTGAATTTATTTGAATTTGATGATCCCAGGAATATAAGTTTGAGGCTTAATAAAAGCGGTTCAAATAAACCAGCTGATTCTTCAGGTATTTTTAGAATTAGTACCAAGTAATAAAAAGCTTAGTTTTAATACATATGTAAGTACAAAACATTAGAACTAATCAAAGATAACTTTTGAAAGGTTTGCACAGAAAAAAATGGTTATTTTAGTGTCTAATATATATTAATAATTAGAATGTAGATAAGTTTTAAACTCCAATTTTAATAATGTTGTTTTTGTTTTCAATCCAGTAAGTCAATGTTGATATTTTACTATTGACATATTAATCAGCTATTTTGAGATCTGTGATATTAATATAAACTGAAATAATTTTTATAATTTTTATAACATGAATTTTGCAGATATAGAAAATATAGATATTTAATAAAAAAAAACCCAAAACAATATATGGCTAAAATCTAACAATGTACAAATTTATCTATAATATTAAATACTTATTTTATAACTAAAGTCCAAGTAAAATTACGAAATTAGTGGCTTACACTAAGTTCATTCTTCTATTTTGATAGTAAAATGTTCCAGAATTGTCAGATTATCTTGACAATGATTGGATTATAATAATGTATGTGGTTGGAAATTTAAATCAATTTATTTTTCTTACTGCCGGAGGCTTTATACAAAACTTTTACATAGCTTAAAGTCAGTTTTTGTATAGGACAAATAGAGAAGGAATTGGATTTGTTGTCTTGTAAAACGATTAATAGATGAAATTCAAGTTTGTTGAAATCATTTTAATTTATGAAAACATAACATATTTATACAGTAATATCTGCTTAGTGTGACATCGAAGGGAAGTCGAAAACTCATCATACAAAGCGTACTGAAGTAAAACTATTTAATGTAAATATGTTACGCATTTCATATATTGTAAAGTGTACACATACATTTTAATCAAAATTAAAAATGACACATATTAGTATTTAATATAAAATGAAATAGACATAGTAGGGCGGGGCACAAAGGTCCCATTTGACCTTCAGTAATTATACTGTCTGAACCAAATGAACTACTTTGCAACCAAATAATTCCTAATTTTAAAAATATGATTTTTTACTACTTTTCTAAAATTTGTCACCTGACCATCAATACATCTTATAAAAAAAATTGAATAACATATACTTAAAATTATATTAGAGTCTCGTAAAGTAAACAACAAAAAAACTAACAACGAAAGAAAATACTTATGTTATGAATTTTCAAACATCGCCTCGTATCTCCTAATAGCAAAGTCGTAAGAATCAAGGTGATCGCCCTCTACTATTACATATTATTGTTTTAAAAATTCTTATTTTACTTGTTTTTATTATTATATTACTAATACACATACAAATGATCTTTTAATGTAAGTAATCAGTAATTTTTGTTTGAATTTTTTACTGTCATTTTATTGCAAAAACAATTCCTCGACTGGGCCACTATAAGCGGCATGTCAATGTAAGCAAAGTCAATAGATCTGACTGTTTTTTAAGAAATTTCATATCCAAACCAAACTTCATAGTACGATTACGTCAATATATGCGGTGGGTCAACATATCCGGCGTCATACTAAGCGGAAAAGTACAGTAGAATACTTTTAATTATACTAAAATCTTTATGTTTTCTTACTTTTTAGTCATATTAATACAATTTTAGATAGAAAGAAACTACTTAAGCCGAAATGGTATCATTGTGTGTTTCAGTTGTTGATTACTGCTTACTGTATACTAAATATATATATATATATATATATATATATATATATATATACACACACACACACACATATATATATATATATATATATATATTAGGGTGGTCCTTAAAATGGTCATTTTTGAATTTCCTTGCTCCCAGGGGCTCAAATGGTTCCAAATAGATAAAAAGCAATTCTCTGAAAGTTTTTGGTTTTAATATTAACGTTTAGCGATAGAGCGCAATTCAATCAAAGTTTGTATGGGAAGAGCATGGAAAAAAATTTGAAAATTAAAAAAAAATGTTTTAGGTATAACTTAGCGACAAATGAATGAGTTTTATTCATTCATTTGTTAGCTAAATTACATCTAAAAAACATTTTTTAAATTTTTGAAAATTTTTCCATGCTATTTTCATACAAAACTTTGATTAATTTGCGCTCTATCTAAACGATAATATTAAGAGCTAAAACTTTCAGAGAATTGTTTTTTATCTATTTGGAACCATTTGAGCCCCTGGGAGCAAGAAAATTCGAAAATGACCATTTTAAGGACCACCCTAATATATATATATATATATATATATATATATATATATATATATATATATATATATATATATATATATATATATATATATATATATATATATATATATGATATATATATATATATACAAATATTGAATATTGTAGTGTGAGGTAGTGTTTTAGAGTACCCAATTTTTGTAGTATGAATATAATAAGAGGGTAGCGAAAGCAGGTTCATAAACTGTTATAGGCTCAAGCATAAACTTTGACCAGTGTTCTCAAAAAGCTCCTTCAAATTTAATTAGCTTTTAGATATAAATATAAATACAAGCCATTATGCAATGAATTTCCTTCAATAAAAGCTACTGCAAGATCTCTTAAATAACCAAAAACTTTATTGAGCTGTATCACTCATCGAATTATTATGCTTATTTTAGATTAGTTAATAAATTCGTCATATTCAATTACGGTAATTTTAGTTATATATAAATATTTCGTACAAGCAATAACTAATTGATACTCTCCTTGATTGTGGGTTTACTATAATTGCTTTGGTATAAATTTCTGTAGTATATTTTTCTTGCACTTAATTTACATATTTCATTTTACATAAAAATGTTATATATTATGAATAAATAAATAAATATATATAATTTATATATATATATATATATATATATATATATATATATATATATACTAATAAATTATTTTTATTATACATGTTTACATGTCTATAATATAAATATATTTGTACATGTGTATAATAAAAATATATTTCACATTAAAATATTTAAATACACAATTAAAAGGTATATAGTTCCTTCAAATTAATTAATTTATATTATTTATGAATTTTCATTGACTAAATTGAATGTTTTTCAAGAACATTTCATTCAGAACAGGTTGATATAATTAAATCATCTAATTATGACTAACATGTTAATAATCTATGACTAAAAAATATATCAAACTACATAAATCATTATGAAATCTTTAAATATTGAAATTAAAATTTTGTGAAAATTGGTACATCGTTTTTTTTTTTTTATAAATAAACAGAGTATAAAACGTTCAAACAACAGAGTGGGCCCGATATCATATCTTAAGAGCCGTCCCACTCTTTAAATTTATAGCTCAAATTATTGAAAATGAGAAATGTTCTTCCAAAATGATCAATTTTTAAAATAGAAATAAATTGCAGCAAATTAAAATATATATGAAAACATAATTTTGCAAAATTCGTAAAAATATTATATATAAAAGAAGTCGGTCAAGAAATACTTAATTCTTTTTATTTAAACTGCTGTGGATACTTATATAAAGCACTTGATGTATTGAATTTTATATTGATATATGCAGAGCATGTATCTGCTAATACTAATATACAAATCTAATTTATATTAATTATAAACAAATTGTTTTGAAGTATATATCCAAATAAGCAATAATGTACAAAAGGTTGTGATCCATATAATGGTTCAATATAAATAAATTTATATATATATATATATATATATATAAAATTTTCTGAACTAAAAAAATTATTTAAATTGTTTCCAACATTTTTTTACAAACACTCACTAAAAATCAAATTTTACATTTACTAATATATTGTAATAATTGATAAATTGTACAAACAATTTATTAATTGAATTTTATTTTTAGTGAGTTAATAAAGAATTAATAAATGAAGAATTGAACATACCATATTTCCGAAACGTAGAAAATGAGATTTTTAGTTCAGAAATATAAAATCATAAATAATAATTGCTAAATTTTAACAATTCAATTTTATTTAGTATATAAACTTATATGTATTTTATTTATAAGACGTTTATAAAACATGAATATAATGAATTTCTATGCTAATAAAGGTGTTTTTAAGTACAACTTATTTGGTTTTATTTTTACATTTTTGTAATAATTTACTTTTGTCAATTGCATTCTGAAAAGCACTGTATACTCTATGTTAAAAGTATAGATATAGAAATGGTCCAGATATCTTCTCAACGTACTAATAGAGATATTGGATTCGAAAATTGAATGGTTTTAAAATTGCAGGTTTGAAATAGATAGTACATATTAGTAAAAATCGAATGCTTAAAAACATTATATGTTATAACTTTTTTAATTCTTATTTTCATTGATTTTATGCACTAACAAAAAAAATTACATTACTTGTTATGATTTTTGAAAAAGTTTCCCATATTTTCAATGATATTTTGGCCAAATGAAGTGAAACATGAAAATTGTTATATCTCATTATTTCGAAAAGACCTGTAAAACATATTAACTATTATATGAATTATGTGATATGGAGCGCCAGTAAAATATGTAATGAACTGCAAGTCGATATCAAGAATACTAGTGACAACAATAATTTCAAAAGAAAAAATATAGAAATTGAAGATTAAATATTAAATATTTAAAGATATTTTAATTATAATAAGTATTATATTATTGTGTAATATTATACAATAACATAATATTTCATATGAAATAGACAAATGATATGTATATATAAAATATGAAAATCGTTTAATAATCTCTCATACCAGACAAAATAATATATAAATAAATAAATAAATATATGTGAAAATAATATATAAATAAATAAATAAATAAATAAATATATATATATATATCAGGATGGTGTCAATTTTGTATAACAAAGCATGACCTATTCTATTCGTTTATTTTTTCATTAGAGTACAAATTATTTAATATAGATAATAAGCGTTGTTCAAATTGTTTAAATTTATTCGCGTTCAGCCCGTTAATTACGTCCGTTAACGATCATGATAACGGGCGACGGAAGACTGCCGTTAGCATTCCGCGGCAACACCAATTTGAAGATCTATCGGATCTATCCATAAATTATATAATCGTTCAATTTTGACAACTCGCAAACTATTAACATATTTTATGCATGGCAATACTGCTATGGAATGTGATGTAGCATATTTAATTTGATGAATTCGTAATTTTAATTTATTTTTTTTTTAATTAAAATCACTTAGATCCTGTCACGAGGATATGTATCGTGTCGTGTTTTTGATTTCGTCTTAGTTAATTATGAAAAAAATAGATTTGAAGACTATTTTTAAAACACGGAAAACGATAAAGTGAATACATAAAATATATTATAATTCAAATTTTAATTTTTTTATTTATAACAAACGGGGTGATCTGTGGTACATTTTGATCTAAGTAGCAAATTGTATTGACATTTGCCTGGATAAAACAAAAGCTATATAACCTCTAATTAAATTTAGAGACCTAATTATATGTTTTAACGAAGCAGTAATAAATTTTGAAAACTGTGATCTATCCTTATTTTAATAATATCGTAATAATAAATCTGTCTGCATATTATTAACTGTGATATGGAATCAATGGAATATGAGCATGCAAGGAATATGACATTATTGTTTTTCCTGGAAAGGCTTTTGGATAAAGGGGAGCCTAGAACTCTGCACGATCTTTCCTGTCAATTTGGAGCCAGAGGGTTTACCAGGGAAATGAGACAGATTGCCGGAGGAAGCCAATCAGGTCACTTACACACCTTGATTTATATAAATCAGGTCATGCTTGCGGCACATCTAGAATGTTTTTTTTTATTTTTGCATGCACACTTTTGCCAAATTTTTGCCATAACATTTATCAGAAATATTGTTTTACTAAAGTATAACAGTGCATTATCAATATATTTCAAATTCTGGAATGCAGTCAGATTCATTCAGTCAATAACTTATTTAGAAAGTATGTAAACAATAGATTCACACACTAGATAATTCTTGTTTGCTATTGTGTTAGGAAATATATAATTAAATCTGTAATTAAAATATGTGTATTTAATTATAAAACTATTTACATATTATATATATATATATATATATATATATATATATATATATATATATATTGATCAGTTATTTATAATCGGGCAGTAACACCAAGTAAAAAAAAACTAAAGTAGTTTTGAAATACTTTATTTATCCATACGTTTCGGTCTTCATCGAGACCGTCATTCAGTGGAAAAAGAAATTAATTAAACAAAAATACACGTTTTGTGCCAGGTCGGTCCATAGCTGTTTTGATTTAAAGTATATAAATAAATTAAATTTTCAATTTATTGCATTGTTATTGAACAATGGGATAAAAACATAAGTTATAAATAATAGCTATAATTATTATTTGATTAGATCATAAGTAAAACATTTATATTTTATCGACACACTTTAGATGTCAGCAATGATATTTTAAAGTTTCAAGAATCAAAAATATAGAATGATGTTCTAATATATTATCACACCATTTCTAGGATTAAAAAAATTTTTGTCTCAATATCCTGCACTCTTCATCATCAATGGCGACTATGTTCATGTAAATCCCTATCAGAAGGTAATAACAGAGAATGATGAGGGGACATCAGGACCAAAAAAAGATTACATTCAGGAAGCAAAAGAATACTTTAGCAATAAACTTATTCCATATGGACCAGGAACAGAGGTTAATATGTAATAATAATAATAATAATTGTAATTTTAAGTAGCCTTTCTGATGGCAAATTATATATTCTAATTTTTGGTTATTAATAGTTAATTTTTTGTATTTTTTTTCGAACTCAGTTCTTAATGTATATTTTATTTGTTTACTTCTGATTAGAATTCTTTTTTGTTCAATCTCTTCAGGTTCCCATCAAAAGTCTTTTGGGCCATAGGAGTCAAGCTTCACCACAAGTTCGTCACATATCAGGTAAGCATGCTGAATTTATATTAATGTTTTGAGCTAAACAATTACATTTTTAAGAATATATTGCACATAGATCTTTAATATAATAATATATAATGTAATAATATAATATAATATAATAATATAATTAAATATATATTTGTATTTAATGTATATATATATATATATATATATATATATATATATATATATATATTAGGGTGGTCCTTAATATGAACATTTTCGAATTTCTTTGCTCCCAGAGGTTGTTCAAAAAACATTTTTAAAATTTTCGAAATCTTTTCCATGCTATTTCCATACGAAGCTTTGATTGAATGGCCCACTATCTAAAAGTTAATATTAAAACTTTAAAACTTTTTAAATAATTTTTTTTTATCAATTTGGAATCATTTGAGCCCCTGGGAGCATTAAAATTCGAAAATGTCCATATTAAGGACCACCCTAATATTTATATATATATATATATATATATATATATATATATATTATATGCAACATTTAATAATATTGATAATGTTAGGCATAAATTTTCTACTGTAAGGACCAGATCTATGTTGTGAGAGCATAATTGTGTGTTTTTTTTTTTATAATCTATTTGTGAAACTTCTCATTTTATGTCATCAAACAATGTATTTGTAGCTTGTAATTTTCTCTAACTAATTCTCTCTTTAAATTTTACAGGCCAGCACATTAAAGAATTTAGAGACTTTTTAATGAAACATCCTGATATGTTCAAACTCATAGATGACAATGTAGTATTAGTAGGTGTTGCTAGTGAAAATTACCCATCTAGTGATAGATTACATTTACCAACTCCTCATATCGACACTGATGTCACACAGGATTTATTGGATTTCTTTGCTCAATGTATAGAGATAAAAGGTATTTATTTTGGTTATTAATTGAATATCGTATACACCTATCTCCCATTTTACACGGAAGTTACGTTTTCATAAAAAACCATGTAACTCGAAATATTTCACTTTTATATGGAAATATTGTGCTAAACAAAAATGACTATGAAAAAGCCCTTTTCGTCAGTTTGTAATATGATGAATAACAAATACATTAAAAGAAAAATAAGTGTTAATATATTTAATAAATTATAAGAATAGTTATTTATTTCAATAATAAAACAAATAAAAAACTATTTTAAATATTGAATTTTTTTATAGATCAAAATTAAAATTGGTTTGTAAAGATATAACCTTTATTTTACTATATAGTTTTTTTTTATCTTTTGCCTTTGTTGAACAAAATGTTGAAAAAATAATTGTTGTATATTTTGTAAAAAATAGTATGTTATTTGCTCATTAAAATACACTATATAATAAATTTACGCTATCAATTATATATAAACACTAATTAAAAACAATGATGCTCTTTATTTTGGTATTTCAAACAAACTAGCTTATACACACAAATTTAGTTTTGATCATAAAACGGTGAGTTCCCGTCTTATTTACATATTTCCATCATAGACATAGACTACTAAGAGGTCATAACTGTAACATACATCTTGTAGTGTTGTATCTTGACAGTGAAAATGTTATTGTGGATGTAAGCAAATTATAGTTTAGTGTTTAAAATTTCAATTTATAAATGCAAAATTAATTAATTTTGTTATTAAAAACGGTGTAATATCGAATACGTGTAAAATGGGGTATAGGTGTACTTCGGGAAATACATCTGTTTTTTTAATATAAATTTAATATTTGAAAATATTTAATACAATTAATTAACATATAATATTTTATAATACAGTGGTACCGCGACATACGAGTTTAATTCGTACCGTAACCATACTCGTATGTCGGATCGCTCGTATCTCGAAGCATTTGTTTCCATATAAATACATTGAAATGTTATTAATTCGATTCTGCAGTGTGATTTTAGTTAGGTTTTTTGAAGATTAAAAAAAAATTACGTTAAATTTTATTACAATTTTTTCCTAGTATTAAAATATTATTTATTCATATAGACCAGGGCTTCTTAAACTTTTGTCCTTCGGAACCCCTTTTACGATTGCGAGTTTCTTGGCGATCCCATTTATGATTGCGAGTTTCTTGACGACCTCACAGATATAATTTTTTTTTATTTAAGCTCTGGTTTATTATATTAAAAAAATTAAATAATCTATATATTTAGTAGCAATGTGCATATACATATGAAACTATATAGTTTAAGAATTTGTTGAGAACATACAAAAACCAAGACGTGATGTTATAAAACTATATAAATATTTGACATTAAAATCACTCGCGACCCCAGAATATTTCCCCGTGACCCCATTTAGGATCGCGACCCATAGTTTAAGAAGACCTGACACTGACGCTTCTCTCTCATGATTTTTACGTTCAGAAAGGATAGTTAAGAAATCCTACACTCAGGCGTGAGAGCGCTGCTTTTGGCATTCATATTAATGGCGCAAAATTTGAAATGAAAATTAATAAATTTTAGTAATCGGGTATTTGAAACTAAATTTGGTATTACACTCGTATTATGTTTTGTAATAATACAATAATAACAAAAATACATTAGATAATATTATATTATAATGAAATCAAATCGAAATATAAATCAACAAATACACTGCCGATTTAAATATACATCACACTTAATCTACTAGAATAATTTCTACATCTTTTTTAACTTATTAATATAAATGTAAGGTTTTGAGACAACTTTTAGGTGTCAATATACAAGTATTTACAGACTTACAGCTGGGAATCTCGAATTTCGAGATTCTTACCTAATTTAAGCTTAAATGACTGGACTATTAGACGAAGCACTACCTAGTATTTATGTCCGGTATCTTAGTCTGAAGCTGTTCGATTCACATTGACAAAGGACTTTGCATTTGAGAGCAATTTTTAATTAAATATTTATCAACAAATGTACAAACACAAAGGAACATAAAAATCACAATTTGTCAACTGACACAAAAATAACACTGACGTTTCTTAGTAACAAAAACATTTGACCACATTTGACAAAATTTTTTCTTCACTGGCTCACTGGCGCTAAATGTGCGACTGGAGTTGGACCCCTAAACTACCCCTTCTGAACGAGAATTTTGATCAGAGACAATAGGCCCTGGTCATGAATTAGCGCCTACGCAATAGAAAAAATCTGAATGAGTTTATGTGTTTGATATGGTTTGTTATAGTTGCGGATTATCAGTTTGATTTGGATTGAACGAACGCTAGGTAAATCGTTACTACACAATTAATATTATATAATTATATAATATATAACATATTAATATAAAATAATTTACTATCATAAAACAACCAAAATACTTGTTACAACTAACCTAATGTTTCATATTTTTATTTTGTCATTAACATTTTTCTAGAAAACTCTTACTCGCCCAAAGCTCGTATTCGAATTTTGCCCGTATTTAGAAGCAAACGAGTCGCTTCTTTGGCGACTCGTATCTCGAAACACTTGTATGTCGGGTCACTTATATGTTGTGGTACCACTGTATTTATATGCACTGTTCGCATATGATAATAAATATTGTTTCTTAAAGTAAAAAAGATTACACAAAACTAAATCATGTAAACATAGTATATATATTTTTTGTAAATTAACAAACGTATTTGCTTTTTTGCAGGTCCTATTTTAGTTGATCAACTTTTCCATGCTGTAACTTCAAAGTTTCCTCAGGATCAGTGGTTTAAAGTATTCAAAACGCCCAGTGACTTGTCGACTTTTCTGAAACTTTTTTCTGACAGTTTTCATATCCAATCGAATTTAGTTACTTTACTCCATAAACCTAAGCTATCGGCAGCTTACATTCATCAAGCCGCTAAAACTAATTCTGCTAGTGACTCTGAGCGAAAGAATCAGCAAATTGTTAATGAAACTGTTACTGATTTTAAGATAAATGAACCGATAACTAACAGTTACTCATTGCAGAATTCATTGAATACCGGTTTCAGTAACTTGTATAATAATTGTAATTTGAATAGTGTTAATCAGCCTCCCAGCAATGAAAACTCAATTCAGTCACTGCCAATAGATGCCACAAATGTGCCTAATATTCAGAATCAAACTCTCAAACAACGCATAAACAATTTAGTGATTAAAACTTTAGCAGAAAATATGGAGAAAGATAAAAGTACTTCCCAAATACATTGTGATAAATCAGCCACTTCCAATTGTTTGACTGGTGACACATGGAAAATTAAAGTGTTACAAATTACGAGACTTGTCAATACTGTGAATGATTGCTTACTTATTGTGACTTCAATCATTCGTTCAGGGTCTGCCACCGATCAACCTGTTATCTCCTTTGACTGCGAAGGTATCAATCTAGGAGCCAATGGCCAACTTTCTTTGTTGCAGATTTGTACAATGAAGGGAGAGGTATATATATTCGACGTTTTGGCTTGTCCAGCTCTTGTTACGAAAGGAGGATTGAAGACACTACTTGAGTGCGAGCATGTGATAAAAGTTATTCATGATTGCAGGAACGATTCCATTAATTTGTACAAACAGTTTGGAATAACCTTAAAGAATGTTTTTGACACTCAGGTAAATTAAATATACATTTACATTTTTTTTCTATAATATACAATGGTACCTTGACATACGAGTTTTTGAGATACGAGCCGAGCGATTTGTTGCTTTTACATACGAGCAAAATTCAAGATACGAGCTTTGAGCGAGTAAGAGTTTTCTCCGTCAGTTGTAACAATGATTTTACTACCATAAAATATTTTGACTTTTGTTTTGTGATAGTAAATTATTTTATAGTTGTTCATTTCAATTATATATTAATATTAGTTGTGTAGTAACAATTTACCCAAGCGAATATATTGAGGATTATTTTAACAGTGAGTTTAATTGTGATTTTTATGTTGAGTCCGCGTTTTTTTGCTTTCAGTACATTTACAAAATATTTACTTTTATAACTGTGGGCCCAAAGGGCCATATCTCTTAAAGCATGAAATTATTAAAAAATATGAGGGTTGCGAGGGACGTATGAGCGTTGTTTAAATAGGTGTTGATAAATAGTCCAGTCATTATAGTGAGTTCATCTCGGAATTCGAGATTCCCAGCTGTAAGTCAGTAAATACTGTTTATTGACACCCTAAAAGTTGTCTCAAAACCTACGTGTAGGTTTTGAGGCAACTTTTAGGGTATCAATATACTGTATTCACAGACTTACAGCTGGGTATCTCGAATTCCAAGATTCTCACCTAATTTAAGCTTAAATTTCTGGACATATATTAGCAATTCGACAAACGAGCGTGGTTACGGAACGAATTAAACTCGTATGTCGAGGAACCACTGTATTTTGTTTTAGTATAAAAGTCATTTTTAAGGTGTTGATTTGATATGGTACTTGTGAAATAATTGCATTCTAATATTCAAAATTTATACAATTTTACTCTACTTGTAAGTCAAGAAACACATACACACATACATCAATTTTTTTAAAAGTATGTCAAAATGTTTAGAAACCTTCAAAACGTAAAGATATGCAAAAATTTTCAGTTTCGATTTGTGGACGATTACAATAACTTATCCTACAGTAAGTTAAATTTTTTTTTTTTCACTGTTAGTTAATTTATCTGATCAGATCAGATGGGTTTTTATGGTTATGTATTTTTATAAATTTAATTCATATTGAATCAGGCTGCTCACGCCGTACTGCAGTTGCAAGAGCAGGGCAAGCCAGTTTATAAAGTGAAGAACGTCTCACTAAATGCTCTATGTGAACTCTATGATGCACCAATAAATCCAATGAAAGAGCAGTTGAAGAACATTTACCGCCGCGATCAGCGTTATTGGGCACGACGACCAATGACTAGAGACATGCTGCTTTATGCAGCCGCCGATGTTCTGGTTCTTATGGATGATCATTTGTATAAACATATGAACAGGTATAGCATCAATTTTTTCTTGGTTTACTTGGTTTGCTGTATACTGCGTTGTAGATTTTATTAAATTTACTTATATAAAAAAGAGTGCGCGTAAGGTTCACACGCGATTGAAGTAAAACTTATTTGCTACTGTACAAGATGGCATTTAAGTAAAAATAAATACATCATATAACAATCTTGAATAATGTTTATTAGTAACCCTCGTGATGCACACATTTATTAGTGTCAACCATTATACACATTTATATAATGATAAATTATAAATTATATATTTATAATAGCATTAAAAATATGTATAATATTTAAAAACAATAATGTAATTAAAGTCATACTTCAAATGTGACCTGAACGATTTGTCATTGTAATTAGCATTTAGAAATAAACCTTCATTAGAGAAATGAAGTAATTGCTGATTAATAACTTCTATAATATTTGTTCACACAGTGGATTATGTTAAACAACGCCTAAACAAATATTGTTTTAACAACTTCAATCATCATGTAATAATTGTGTTTGAAAAACTTCATGCAACAGCTGTTTTGCCTAAAAAAGATTTTTCTTTTCAATAACTTCAAAGATTTATAGAAACTATCAATAATATAGAAATAATTTCCAATCAATAAACTTACGGCACAAATGTTTATTTTGTTTTATTATTTTCAAAGAACAGCGTAAAATATTCTTTTGATTCAGGCATTATTTATTAAATCAAGATTTGTACTACGATGTAACTTTAAAATGCTTATTTATCTATACCGATTTCCTTGTTGATATCGGTACGCCTACAACGTTGACGCCGGTACGCATACAACGACAGATCTCACATACGCGACGACTAATCACAATTGACCCTTACAGAAATGATAGCATCAAGAACGAATGACGAATTATTGGCACTCGACTCTTATCTTATCTGCCGTAACGCACTTCCGTTGCATTTGTACGGATTTACATCCTTGTCGCGCTTAAAGAAGTTTTACTTCAATAATATATTTTTATTTATCTTTGTATATTTTTCAGTGCTATTCAAGCGGAAAATCGAAATCTTCTCCAGGAGTTGTGCAGTGAGCAAGTTTTTCTTCACATCCGCCCGGCTGATGTCAAAACTCGCAAAAGGCTACGAAAGGTCCAAACTGAGGTCGCCGATTTGAAAACTAAATTAAGCAACTCTAGCAAAAATGTTGTTTTGAGCAACAGGGAAATAAGACTGTTGAGGTAATTTTTACTAACTCTTTACTTTTACGAACAAATCCGACTAGCTCATTTCTGTATTTCAAGTCATTTTATCATTTGAGATCAAATTTAGAAGTATTTGAGTCGATTTTTTACGATTCATTGACGTTTCCATAAAAAAGGCTAAACCGATTTCAAAAATTTATAAGGTATCTGATGAAACTCGATAAGCACCCGAGTTGTTTAGTTTTTCGAGACCATCGGTCGAGCCGATTCTTTATAATTAGGAGAAAAATGGAAAATTTCTTGTCAGCATTTTTGTAAAAAAGACTGAACCGATTTTGAAAATTCAAAAACTATTCAAAGATATTATTATCATTGGGAGTCGTGCTAATTAGTGTTTAACAAACATCAGTCGGGTCGTTTCTTTATATTTGATTGTTAAAAAAATGGGATTTTGAAGAAACTTTATATCATCATAGAGTTTCTGGTTTTAATGAACATACTAAATGCCACTTACATCTAGTTTATTTTGTTCTTGACCAAGGACACTTTATCATGTGTACTATTTCATTTCTTCAAAAATGAATTTTTAAACAATATTGAATTTTTAGGTACCTGGATTTAACCGAAGAGGAGAAAGATAAGCTCAAAGGTTCTTACAAGGTTGCTAAGAAATTGGAAAAACTTGAAGGAATAGGCCAATACAAGTAATTTATTTTATATCTATATCAGTTTTTTAATCTAATCAATCATTTCAGTACATATCAAATTTCTTCTTGAATTTCTTAAACATGAAGTTCTTACTTTTATATATTGAAAGTATTGCAATCGAAATGCGTAATCATATATTTAAAAATACTAATTTAGGTTGTTAGTTAAATCGATTTTTTTTTGTGTAGACAAATATTTGTATATATTTTAGGAAAAAAATAAGGTGAGTTATATGAAGTAACGTTTTTAAAATGAAAATCAGAAATAGTTATTTTGTCAGTTGCCTTTTTATTGCTATATTATAATAGAAACTAAATATTGACATTATTAATTTGTCTTTTTTTTACAGGGATGTAAGCGACTCAGAAGACGATCTTGACAATGCTGATCCAGAATCCAACAGTCTTGAAAGTTATTCTGATAATTCTTTGACAGGTAAAATAATTCTGCTGCATGTATTGAAGTAAAAGTAATATAATCATTAATTAAGCTCTTATGAAATTCAATTATTTTTACATCATTATTGAATATAGCTCAGTACTACGCTATTAGATACTATGCCGAATTTAGTGTGGTGATGTGTAATTTTATTCATAAAGTGATTATAAAAATATTAACATGAATATAAAAGTTTAAAAAAGTCATTCATATTTAACTAAAAAAATAACTAATAAAAAGTTTTTGAATGAATGGTAAGCTGAATATCGATTCTAATTATTTTTAGGCGCTTTTTCACCTCGAACATCCGAACCTCCAAGTTTGACTGAAAGTATGCAGCTGATGGACGAAATCATAGCTGATAATTCGATGGATCGGTTGTTAAAAATTGAGAAACTTGAGGCCATATTATCTGCGGTAACTTTGCTTCCTGGGGCTAATGTGAGTAATTGAATGGATATTGACACGGATTATGTAGTCACTTCATTAAATTCACGAAGAAGAAATTAACGTTTTAGCCATTTGATAATACTATTTTTTTTGGCGTTTTAAGTAATTTTGAATTGTTCGGCGCTAAAATTGAAAAATGATGTGCGTATGTGAGTCAAAATTTGACAAATCGTCGAAGTTCTTTAAAAACGGCTGCACCTATTTAAAAAATTTGAAAACCATTTGATGAAACTCAATAAGGACTGAACAGTTTTGCGAAACGATCGGCCGGAACTTTTCTTTCTAATTAGCTGATAAGTGCAAAAATTATTAGCCAATGTTTTCGCTAAATATTCGGAGCCGATTTTGAAAACTTAAAAACCATTCGAAAGATATCATTCGAGAATAGTGCTGAATTGCTTTTTGTAAAGCTCTGCTGGGCCGTTTCTTCATAATTTACTGTTGAAAAAACCTTTTAGACGATTTTTTAAATTATCTATATGAGCCGAGTTTTAATCGAAAGCCATTCGATGTATCTCAATAACGACCCGCATCGATTAGTTAACAATGATGCGACAAAATTTTCGTCCACGTTTTAGCTTGCGATCCTTCGTAATTAAATGTTGACAAAATTTTTGTACGATTTTGATGAAATTTTAGTTATATGTTAGTTTTAATTTGATAATGTTTGGGATCATGGTCATACTAAACATACTAAAATTTTACGGTCTTGTGAGAAGTGTTTTAAGTTTACAAATTCATCAAAGTTTGAACCAATAAGAATGAATAAATTTGTGTTAAAGTCGCTTTTGTGATGTGATAAGTCAAAATTTTGTGGGCAAGTTTACAAACTTAAAAGCCATTGGATTAAACTCGAAAGGAGGAACTGCGATTATTACATTTACAAGACGATCGGCGAAGCCATTTCTTTGGAATAAGTAAAAAAGTACTTTTCTGGTAACAGTATTGCTATTCTAAGTTTGTTAATTTCTGCATTGTACACAGAAATGAATTGATAATTGTTTAAATAGATTCTTTATATTTGTGTCACCCAACGAGTAGTCTGGTTGTGTAAAAACTGTTATCAAAACGTATATAATATACGTAATCGTGTCAGTATTTATTAATTATATAATTAATTAATTTAGTTACATAAATAAATTCAATTAAACTGGATAAATTAATTAATTTTTGAAATAAACAATTAAATATTATATTCAAATAGCTAAATCTCAATTTTGGTTGATTAAGTTAATTATTACACATATCGGATAGATTTACGTATTTACAGACTTACAGCTGGGTATCTCGAATTCCGAGATTCTTACCTAATTTAAGCTAAAATGGCTGGACTATGAACTTCCCATATCGCAATCACCACTTCTACCCATAATTACAAATTGAATGCTTTTGGAATCATTCAAATCGGAAGCTCCGTTCTCTCAAAACCTCGATTTCTATTTTCTGCACTCTTTGCTCCGTATCTCCGAAACTACTGGACCTGCTTTTGCCAAAAACTATTCAGTACATCTTCCTATCAATAGGAATCGAATGTTTTTTGAACCATTCAAATCGGTTGATTCGTGTGCCTGAAAACGTCGACGAAAAATTGTATCAATACATACATACATACATACATACACACACGCGCACACACATACATCCATTTTCTCTGAGGTATGTCAAAATGTTTATAAACCTTCAAAACGTGATGAAATTGAAAAATTTTTAATTTCGATTTTTGGACGAATACAATAACTTACCCTACGGGAAGTTAATAATAAAATATTGCTTAATATATTGCATGTAGATCAGTAATATATATTTATATACATATGTGTATGTATGCCAATATTATATATGCTACTTTTATTACAGAGTAATAATGCCATTAGCTTAACTCCAGCAATATCACCAGACAAATCTGACTTAATTGGAGACACTTGTACTGAAGTCAATCCAAGGTAAATTATAAATATGTTTATAATTGTAGATGTTTAATTTTTTGAGGGTTGGATTCAGCTTCCTTATCAGTAGAGTTTCTTTTATGGCAAACATCACCCGTCTCTGACTAAAATATTTTTTAAGACTGATTTATTATTTGTGATTTATGATATCTCTATTAGATTTTCAATCCCTTTTGATATCTCACAACCTAGATTTAGAGATTTTGATTTTCTTATTCATTCATTTTATTCAATTATATTTGTCATATTATATAATTATAGAACTTGTGCACTACGTTTTTAAGTAAAAATTAGATAAATGGTAATGAAAAATTTGTTAAATTAGTTCACCATTTATTATAGAAAAATCAATTTGAGAAGTTTTAGATTTTTTATGTATTTCCGATTTTTCACGAAAACGTAAGTATTTAGTATATCTGATTATTTCATCAAATTTTCAGGAAATGTGAGTGTAATTGCCATATATCGACTAAGTCTGAAAATAATGTTTTTGTGAATAATACGATGGATGAATGCTCAAAAGTAGATGCGTCTTGTCAGACCCTAAGTACTGGTGACATAGTCATTACTAAAATATTCTTCAATGAAGACCAAGTGCCAGACAAGGAAATCAGGTTGTCTCCTAATAGAATAATTAATAATTCACCTTGCTGATTTTGCACACGACCACATTGAAGAAGGGGGATTTTAGATCGAGATAAGTATGTATACTCTAGAAATTAGTTTACTACTTATAAAATTTCTACATCGTATATAATTATGCAGATTTGATCTGTAAAGATAGGTATGATATGGAATTGTATTATCTTAAGTGTCAAACAAAATTTAAATAATTTATTTTAATATAAATAATTTTATGGGAACAGAGTTTATGTGCGGAAATTTCTTTTATTCGCTTGTCTTAATATTTTTGTATAACAAATTTTTCTGTATTAAAGTGTAAGATAGTCTTTAATAACTTATATTTATATATATATATATATATATATATATATATAAGATGAAGTTATTCTTGGGCATCTATCCAATAATTAAAACAAATTTAGTAAACAAAATGTATTAATTGATGTAGCAAACGTTTCGGGTCTTGATTTGACCCATCTTCAAACACAAAAAATGTGAACACTAATTAATATAACACATGTTTATATAACAAGAGTTTTTAATTATTTAATAAAAAATTAAAATAAATAAAATGAATGAAAAGCTTTATAAAAGTTCTGGTTATTGAGACATATTAATTGCTTGGAATTTTGTATGCAAGTATACTTGGCATTAATTAGTGTTTACATTTTTTGTGTTTTTCTTTTAATTATTTCCATGCACTGAAGATTTATCTATTCAAGGCTTGAAACGTTTGCTACTACAAACAAGATATTTTTCTTTACTAAATTTGTTTTAATTATTGGATGGATGCCCAAGAACAACTTTATCTTATATATTTTACTATCTGAAAAAAAACCTCATGTTATTATATATATTATACATATATACACATCAGATTTTACTTTATTCGAATCAAATCATATCTAGCCGAATACTATTTACTGTGATTTCTCACACCTAGTAATTAATCTGACATACAATATTGTTTGAACATACGATTTAATAAATGTGAAGAATATTAATTTTAGTAAATATAGACATATAAATAAAAGATTAATTAAATCATGAGAGCCATCAGATTTCTGCTTCAAATCAAAAGATACAATAAAGAAGGAGCGCTGAAAGCGAAACCGTTCGTAAATATTAATAATTAACACTTAATTTTGATGATGAATTAGAGACCATATATTAATTTAATAGATTCAGATCGTGAATTATCTTTATTTTTGTCATATGTAGCATGAATTTCAAATTTTATCAGAATAAATCAATCAAGATTATGAAATGATTTTGTTTGGTTATATTTTGTTGAGAATTAATTTGAAAATATATTTCAACTGTCTTCGAAATTAAGCCATTTTTTATCACCCTTGTGAAATATTTTATTTGATAAATGATGTTTACAATATTTACTTGGTCCAGTATATTGGTGAACTCCTACACTTTTCATTACAATCTTTTATCATATTTACTAATCTAATCTACTAAATATAATCGATAGGTTTTTTTTTGGTTTATATTGATTCATATATAAACTTGATATAAGTTGATTCAAATCAGATTTTTATATTCGAATTATTCCAATCAGGAAATTTTTGAGTCAGCACATCACTAACATACATTTACATTTTGACACCGTATGTCATTCAGTAAGTTTTAAAACATTGTACAAATTAAACATTTTATGGAAACAATACTGAGTATTGTAAAAATATTACCTGAAAAAATACACCTAAAATAGTTCAGTGAGAACAATTGGAAGCGGTTGAGAACTTTATTATTTTTTTGTAATACTTAATAAGTTTTTTTTTTGTAAAACGTTTAAATTGTGCTATTTTATATATATATATATATATATATATATATATATAATCTTTCTATATAAATGCTTTTTGCTCTAAAAGTTTTTGCTCTTAATATTAACTTTTAGATAGTGCAAAATTCAATCAAAGCTTTGTATGGAAATAGATTGGAAAAAAATTCGAAGATTTTAAAAATGTTTTTTAGGTATAACTCAGCGACAAATGAATTAAAAGTGACAATTTGTGTCATCTTTTATTGAAAATTCGACGCTCTACAGAACAGATTTTTTATAATTTGTTTTGTAGAGCGTCGAATTTTCAATAAAACTCATTCATTTGTTCGCTAAATTATATCTAAAAACATTTTTAAAATTTTAAAAAGAGCTAAAACTTATAGAGGATTTTTTTTATCAATTTGGAAGCATTTCAGCCCCTGGGATCAAGAAAATTCGAAAATGTCCATATTAAGGACCACCCTAATATATACGTATATATATACATATGTATATATATATATATATATATATATATATATATATATATACAGTAAAACTAATTTGTGCGTTTTTTTGGCTGGGTCTGGTTTGTTATTATATTTTGTGCGTTTTGTATAATTGCTCATTCGTATAAAGAATGGGGCCAATCCATTGTTACAGATATATTTGCAATTAATATTTATTAAAAATATATTATTAAATGAGTATGTATTAGTGCGAGAATATGTGCTTGTAAATATTTATGTGAACTTTAATTTAATTTTGCAGTATTTATAAAATGTTGTCTGTACGAAAACTCATAATTGTGTACATATTAAATAACTTCGATCTTTTTAATACAGGTTTGAGAGTGCATACTGATTTAGTTCGATCAATATTTTATATCTAGAGATTGGTGCAATATATGGTTTTAATTAAAGGACGGATTACTTTAACAGGATTTAAACAAGTAACTTTATTTAAAAATATTTATCTATTAATTTATTTGACTCAAATAGTTTTATTTATGTATAGATATATACATAAATAAAATATAAATATATATATATATATATATATATATATATAATGTTTTTGATTCAAAATGTGTCATTTTAACATATCCTGATAATAACTTGTAATCTTTTTTGGATATTTAAATTGATTATATACTGAAGTTATATATTACTAACCGCAATAAAGGATTAGTACCTTACACGTAATGCAATTACATGTGCAAATTAAGTATATTATATTTATTCAATATGTTTTGTCAAGTATTTAAGTTTCAGACGACAGCTTTTTCTTGTAAATAACCTTGTACCCAGGGCAATCGGTAAATTATAATGAATATCTCCTTTTTATAAATATGCTCATTATGCTTAGGTAGAACACTTGTAGACAAAAATATGTATAAAATAATGTATGATATTTTTATTTTCTTATAATACACACATGTACAGACATGGCGTTTTTCTATAATGTAACTTTTGCCTCTTACAATTAAATTTATGCGTCTTTTCAGGAAATCCTCCATAGAACTAGAATATTAATTAAATCACGCATATTCGTTTTCGCTAATAATTGTCTTTACATTTTTTTCATTAAAAGTCTTATTTATTATTTTGGCATACGCTAGAAATAATGTATTTGTAATTGTGTAAAATGTATTTCAAACTTCCCGAAGGAGATGTTTGTTTCGACAGAAAATCCGATTTGCTAATTTTGTTTTTTCGACGTTATATTTTAGGAAACTCCACGAAGATTTTCGTGAGACAAACGGAGAGTCATTTTTTTTTAGAATTTGTTGAAAAGTGCGATTAAACGATTTACATAATTTAAAAACCCTTCGAAACAGATATCATTTACGAATCGTGCTGATTAGTTTTTGGTAAATATTGGTAAATAAACTATCATACTAAAATATTATAGGTTTAATACAAGTGGTTAAATCATAAAAAATCATCAAAGATTGGAATGAGCCACGCGCTTGGTAGGCACTTCTTATTGTCGTTGACGTTTGCACCTAAATAAAATATATTTTTAGAGCAGGAAGTTGAATGAACGGTTTTGATTTAATTTAATTTATATAATTGCAGATATTATAACTTTGCATTTGGAATATTAATAGAATGTAGCATTCATTCAGTAGAAGCAAATAATTTATTATCTAAATAAATTTTATCTAAAAAAAGAAAATTTTATCTAAATAGCTAAATGTTAATTTTTATTGATTAAGTGGGTTATTTATCTGTATCGGGAAGTTTATGCTACTTGCCTTGAGGCCAGATGCCACTTACAACTACAGTTACTAGTTCAATTTATGCATTATTATTAATGCATTTGTTGGCATTAATTTTTTTATTCTTATATTTAACAGCAATCAGAACTTCTGTTCTATGAGCTGTTGAGCTCGAACTGTGTTATACGATGTTTTTCAATCCGATGCAGCAATGCCCGTGAAGAGCTATTTTCACTTGGAACTGATTAAATTTTCGGAAAAGCAGGTCCAGCGGTTTTGAGATCTATAAAGAACATGATGTGCACATCATGTGCATATGTCTAATGATCATTTTAGACCACCAAATGACATTTTTTTCTTTTTTTACTAAATCTCCAAAAGCTCATTTCTGATTGCTGTTAAATACAATGCTGCCATTCCAATTACCAACTATTTTATAGAGATTTTAATAAGTCTAAATATTGTTGAACGCGGCGCTTACGCAACATTTCGATATTTCGTTTCTAAAACGAACGATCACTTTGAAAAAAAAGTTCAGAATTTTCAAAAAAATTTAAAGAAAAAAAGAGTGCGCGTAAGGTTCACACGCGATTGAAGTAAAACTTATTTGCTACTGTACAAGATGCCATTTAAGTAAAAATAAAAACATCATATAACATTTTTGAATAATGTTTATTAGTGGTAACACTCGTGATGCACACATTTATTAGTGTCAAACAATATACACATTTATATAATGATAAATTATAAATTATATATTTATAATAGCATTAAAAATATGTATAATATTTAAAAACAATAATGTAATTAAAGTAATACTTCAAATATGCCATGATCGGTTTGTCATTGTAATTAGCATTTATAAATGAACCTTCATTAGATAAATGAAATAATTGCTAATTAATAAATTCTATAATATTCGTTCACACAGTGGATTATGTTAAACAATGACTAAACAAATATTGTTTTCGCAACTTCACTCATCATGTAATTGTGTTTGAAGAACTTCATGTAATTAAAATTAACGCACACTCATTGGCTGCTTGTATTTTTTTATTTTTTTGCTGGCGATATAATCTCATTCTTTGAACAGCTGTAATATATGTCTTACCTTAAAAATATTTTACATTTTAATAACTTCAAAGATTTATAGAAACTACGAATAATATAGAAATAATTTTCAATCAATAAACAATCAAATGTTTAATTTGTTTTATTATTTTTAAAGAACAGGGTAAAATATTCTTCTGATTCAGGATTTTTTCATTAAATCAAGATTTGTATTACGATGTAACTTTAAAATGTTTATTTATTTATGCCGATTTTCTTGTTGATATCGGTACGCATACAACGTTGACGCCGGTACGCATACAACGACATATCTCTATTCATATGCACGACGCCTAATCACAATCGACCCGTATTGAAATGATTTCATCGAGAGCGAATGACGTACAGTTCGGGCGTAACGCAATTTCCGTTGCATTTGTACGGATTTACACCCTAGTCGCGTCTAAAGAAGTTTTACTTAAAAAATCGGCACGGAAAGTTCCAGCAATTTATCTTTTGTATCCATTGCCTAAGTAGTTGAAATGTAATTTATAATAATTTTTTAACGCTTTGAGAAAGTAACCACACGTAAGATAACCTCAAGTGAAAATTTGATATCATGCTGTCTGATATCGAGCTTGACCGATGTTGGGACTGATCCCTTAGGTCACGATGGGCACAGAATATTTTCATGGTAACCAAAATTTGCTAAAATTTGGCACGGTTTATTTTTCGGTCTGCCAAAATCCTGGATGACGATCTTCATACAGTGGAAAATAGTTTCAGATATGCGGAATGCTGATCGGTGAATCTAAAATTGTAGTTTTGATTAAAGGATACGAGGATAGAAGGATTTTTCTATCTCAATGTATGTACTTGGGTCTGTACTGAAGAAACTATAGGCTTATAGATAAGCTTGTTATCTGAGCACAGAAATATAATAGAGCGAAGATATAAAAAACACAAATATATATTTTGATTATACCATATTGTAATACCTGGTATATTCAATGTCATTTACGTGATTTTAATTATACTTTTATATTGACATATGTTAATATTTGAAGAAAATTATCTTTTAGTAGTACAATAAAAGGGACGGCTTACTCGAAAATCTATTTAAAAAATATCGATGGTAAAAGAAAGAACCAAATGGATATTTTAGATTGTTTCAGCATATTATAATTTTTGATGAACTCTTTAATGATAAGTCTAAAAATGTTACGTGCTTTGCTGGATTTGTTGTTTATCGCTTAACAAAAGTGTCATTAGTATTATTTGATAATAAGTAAAATTTATGAGCTACAGCTATTTTAATGCAAAAAGTCAAGTAAAGTCAATGTACTCCATAGGTGGGGCAATTTGAGCACTAAGAAAGTATAATAAATCCATAGGTTCAATGTCGATCAGTGATGAAACAAAATAGGTGTTTAATATTCAGTTCTATATTTATCGTCTTTATTGACAGAGAAAACAAAACTTATCTTAGAAATTATTTTAGCATTTATATTCAGCCTTTTTGTTTAAAATCATTATGTTTTTATATTATTACTTATAGATTTAGCTTAAATCTTATAAATAACTAGCAAACCCGACGAACTCCGTTTCGCCACCAGATGATGGTGAGAAAGATGAAGAAATTTTTTGTTTGTTTTATATTTGAAAAGGAAAGATTTGATCAGGAAGGAAAACCCGACTTATTTTTATATATATAGAAGATAATCTATTTGCAATTATTTAAAACAATTATTGATTATTTTTATTACTCGAATTTTTAATTACGGTGCGAGGAGTTCCAGCAATTTGCATTAGGGCACGATGCCATGCACCACTAATTTACTTAGCTATAAACCATGCGGAGCCCGAGACCTTTCCAACAAATGCAAAATTGTCGAAATCGGTTCGTGCGCTCTGGAGTTATTTCGTCAGGAAGGAAAACCCGACTTATTTTTATATATATAGAAGATAATCTATTTGCAATTATTTAAAACAATTAATGATTATTTTTATTACTCGAATTTTTAATTACGGTGCGAGGAGTTCCAGCAATTTGCATTAGGGCACGATGCCATGCACCACTAATTTACTTAGCTATAAACCTTGCGGAGCCCGAGACCTTTCTAAAGAATGCAAAATTGTCGAAATCGGTTCGTGCGTTCTGGAGTTATTTCGTCAGGAAGGAAAACCCGACTTATTTTTATATATATAGAAGATAATTAATTTTTGGAAGTTAATGGTAATTGTCTTAGTGACATAACAAGCTTAGCAACAATGCTCAACTAACCCCAACTCGGAATTTCAAAATAAGATGAGAATTATACCCAGAATCTCTGTGCCTATCAAAAGTATGGATAATTGTATGGACGTTTGACATTTACCTGATTAAAAATAAATAACATTTGACTAAACCAGACGAAAACTCGTGATGAACTTTTTTACTTTTTGGTCTCAATTTATAGAAAACGCCCTTGCGCCTCACTCATTTGTCCAGTGGCCACTAGCAATCGCGGGATGTTTACTTCTCGCAAATCTATCTTTCCGTCATATGATGCCTAAACGGACGGTGAATAGTTTTCGAGATATTTTGATAGTTCAACTTGCCCCTATGCCCAACTATCCCCGCTCTACCCTACTTACTCATTTTTGGTTTCAAACCTTCTTCTTCCTGTACCAATAAAGAACAACGGGATCTGCGCATTCTTCGTAAGCATTAAATATTTTACGAACTGTTCAAAACAGGTCATCGTTTTTCCCAAACAAATCATATATACATACATATATGTATGTGTTCGTTTCTTTCTCGATTTAATAACTTTACCATACGTGAATTTATTAAGTTATAGACACAGTACAAATTGACACAGTAGCCTTATTCAAAAATTGGCTGGTTTTAGTAACGTTTAAGCGACTGTAAGATGAAGAAAGCTAATCCTGTGAGATGTTGAGCGTCATTGTCAGAGTAAACGGCAAAAACGAGTATCTCGCCTTTAAAAGTTTATTTTTAGGCTGGTTATGATGCTTTCTGACGTTTTATTGTTATTTATAATTTTTTATATTAAAATGAACTTATGGCAGTACTTGCTATTTCGGTCAATTTTATTGCAATTATCAAGTTTTTGATGGAATTTTTATTATTCATTCATTTTTGTTCCATTTTGGACAAAATGACAATGTACTATTCTGCAAGCACTACAGGGTAGTTTATTCAAGGCCAAGAAAAAGGAAAATTGAAACCTTTGGGCTTCATGTGCATGTTCATGTCCGAAAGATGATCAAACGATTTATTTGTGAACTACCTTCTTAAAAATTAGCATCTTAGTAGTATGCTATTTAGCTTATGTCATTTGATTGTATATGGACAAAATAAAATTTGCATGGAATTGTTATTGCAATATCCAAGTTGAGTTAGTGACATTACATTTCAGTGGTCTTCAATTAACATATAAATATTATCTATTATAATTATCTTTTTAGATTGAACTTTTATTCTGTATCAAAAAGTATCTTTTTTTACAATTGCAGTTACTACTTTGTTTCTGAAAGATTAGATGAATATAATTATTTATTTTGTTTTTAGATTGCCTTGTGAACCTACAAATCATTTAAATAGTAGGTACTAGTGGTGAATGAGGGCCATATTGTCCACACAGGCCGCTACATTATTAGGCTCTGTTAATACTTGTGTCAACATTGAATGCAAGATAGGCGGGTAAGTGGTTAGACCGATAGGATTTAAATTAGAGGTCCCAAATTCCATACTCCCTTCGAGCAGCCTGATGTGAAGCAGTAGTGACATCGGTTTTCACTTGAAAATACAGATAACTTATGTTTTCAAGTGAAAATAGCCCTAGCCCGGCATCGCTGCATTAATAAAAATTGCAGAAGTTGTAATTATAAAAAAAAATCATCGCATAGATATGGGGGGACTGAACTTGACTTTCAGTAATTATACTGTCTAAACCAGCGGTCGGGGAACTTTTTTAATCATTACCCATAAATATTTTTGTTTAAGTTGATGTTACTCCCATGATAAAAAGAGATTACCCCCATACGGGCAACTGCAAACTTCAATATTTACCCAAATTGAGACAATTTACCCCGGTTTCTCGACCGCTGGTCTAAACCAAATACTACGTTACAAGAAATTATACGCATTAAACAAACAACTACCGAACTTTGTTCACAAAAATCCCAAGTAATTCCTAATTACAGAAATATGTTTTTAGCTATTTATTTGAAATTTCTCACCTTTCGCTTTTTACCCTATAGGCTGGGGTGATAAGGAACAGCCATCGGACAAACAGATACAATGTCTTATTTTAAATTTTAAAGAAATTTTACGAAATAAGCTAAATTATTTAACCAAATCAAAATAAAAATGTTATGTATCAATTAATTTTAACTACAAATGTAATTTGTTTATAAAACTGCATTTTTTAACTTAAAGGGGTCTTCTACCTTGTGGCCTCGTTTTTGATACTGTTTGTTAAAAATCAATCTTAAGGAAACCAGTAATGCAATCAAGGTGCGGTTTTTTGCATCGTGTCAAACGATAGCCAATGTCATAAGAAAACCTAATCATTTTGTTTGTTTTTTTTTGTTTCAGGCGACTTTCACGAGCTAAATCGTCTCAACCGTTTTGATATACATTTTTCTTGTAATAAAGTGTTTTTTTTTTTGACGTTAGATACCATAGTCTTATGGATCATACTAAAATATTACGGCCATACGACAAATCGTTTAATTTAAAAAAAAATTCAAAGTTTGCAAATTATTTCATCCACGTTTGCTCACAAACGCCTGAACCGATTTCAGAAATTTAAAAGCCGTTTGATGTATCTCAATGAGGACTGTCGTTTGTCAGTTTTGTGAGACAATCTGCCGAGCCGTATCTTTGTAATTTGAAAAAAGTGTTAAACTTTTCATCCACATTTAAGCTCATACTACCGAATCGATTTTCAAAAATCAAAAACTGCTTGAAAGATATTAGTTGGGAATGATACTGATTAGGTGAAAATCTACCGAGCCGTTTTCTTGCAATTAACTGTTGAAAAAAAAATTAAGCCGATTTTTATGGAACTTTTTTGGCAAAATATATCATAGTCTTATAGAACTTACTGAAATATTACGCCCTTACGACAAGTAGTTTAATTTTAGTCAAAGTTTTAGAAAATGAGTAGTTTTTTTGGCGTTTGTTAAAATTAAAATTAGACGATTTATTTCATATAATGACAGAGTACCTTAATGAGGTCTTAATGAATATACTCAACCATTAAAGTCCTACGGAAACTGGTTCAATTATAAATATTATTGATTTTTGAAAATTTGCTTTTAGAAAATACTCCGAGTTAACGTGTTCGTTCGTTTTCAATTATGTGTAATAAATCCACCCAGAATACCTAATCACTCATTAATTAATTTATTTTTTATTGATTAGGTCGATTATTTACACATTTCGGGAAGTTCATGTAACTTGCCGCAAGGCAAAATACCAATACCAACTAGTTTACTTTTTTATTTATCATTTTCTTATCGTTCATACCATCATACCTTGGCTAGTGTGGAGGTTTAGTTGGCCGTTTTTACCCTACCCCACAGGAGGAGGTTTTATAGAGGTTATATAAATAAAAACTGTTGAATATAACTTAAAAATAACAATACATCTTATAAATCAATTAAAAAACTTAGTCTTGAAAATTATATACAGATATTTTAAACTAAATAAAAGAGCTCAAAAACAAGAAACCACATACGAAACAAAATACTTTCATCACGAATATTCATACTATACATAATTTCATACATGGATATTTCTCTCCTGATAGTAATTAAGATGATACCATATTATACATCTTTAGCCTTTAAAATAGTATCGTTAAATAATTTTATACTTTTGTTATGCTAATTTTTAGTTGTTTTTGAGATAATGGTGGTGGGTCCCTTATGTGTGATCGGTCATAGCCTTAAATCTTCATTAACATTCAGGAGATATATGTTCATATTGCCAAATTTTTAACAAAAGTATTTTTTTCTGCTATTAGTCTTTTTGTTTTTGAGCACGGTTGTTTAGTTTACGATACCTGAATATAATTTTTAAATACACATTATTTAATTTTTTTTTATTAGATGTATTTTTGTTTTTAAGTTAGATTCAACAGTTTCTTTTATAGTCTGCATGCCATAATGGCATGCCATCAGCATTGGCATTGCCATTGGGGTAGAAAGTACCACAACCTTTACACGAGGTAAGAAAATAGTAAATATAAATAAACTTTACGAAATTATTTTAATAGTTATTGCAACTCTTCAATGATAAATTCTGCTGACAAAGTTGCATAAATGAAAGTTGTATTCAGTGCAATGTTCATAAAAAATGCGCCCATAAAACATGCATTTCAAACAGAAGTTGTAATTATCTCATTTATAATAATTGTATCTTATATATAAAAATGAATCGCAAAATGTGTTGGTAAGCGCATAACACAATAACGCCTGGACCAATCTGGCCAATTCTTTTTTTTAAATGTTTGTTGAAGTCCAAGGATGGTTTGGTCCAAAAAATTGAATAATTGCCAGGAAAACCCTAAAAACAACCCTTTTCTTTTTCTCATACAAATGTTTTCTAACTAAAACGTAGAATCAATTTGAGCTTTATTGCTATTATATAAAAAGTTCATATTAAATTACAAGCACTCACTGTATACTCTTTCTAAACGATTATTCGGATTTTGATAAATCTTTCTGAAGTTTGTTAAGGAAATTTTCTAGGATGTATGTGATTATAAAGTACTAGGATGTATGTGCAATATTGTAGAAATAAATGAAAAAAAATGCAAAAAACGACATGTCATTGTTTGCTTTGAAAACAAATGAAAACTATTATCTGCCAAAAATTTCAATTTGCTTATGAACTTAAGCTAGACATGTATAATAAATTTATGATTATGAATAAGAAAAATGAAATGTCTACATTATTATTGCCAAAAAACAGCTGAGATGTGCCAGAAATTAAAATAATATAAAATACAGTATATTATGACAGATTGAATGATACACATATGAACAGGATATGACAAATTAATTCACTTAAAATATGAAATGAAGTATTAATCAAGGCCGGTCCTCCCTGTAATGCGATGCATGCAAAAAATACGAGCGCACGCCTTATTTCGAGTATTTTGAATATTTTCAAATTCTCATGCATTTGCTGTGCATTCAGGTGTTTTACACTGAATAAACTGCAACGTCACTCGTATGTTATGAAGCTGGGTCAGAAAGACCCTGTTATCTAAGATCGTTTTTTGACATTTGTGCGTTTTCTAGGTTATGTTTTCTATCTGACAACCTGAAAAATTCGCCTGACTGCACAGCGACCACATGGCTTTTGTCAATATTTAGAACGAATTTGGAAATTTCTTCATAACATAGCCTTGCTATAACATTGGTCTTTTTTACAGAATCGGTTCCTTAGATTATGGTTTGTAATTGTGTTCGTTGAGTTTTTTTTTATAATTCAGCAGTAATTTGCAAATATCTTTACTCCCCATTGCCCCTGGGTAATTTGCAAACATACTTGCCATTGAAAATATCTGACAATATTTTTAAAAAATACTGCTGTAATATGTAAAAAAATATAATAGATCATTTGAATTTAAATTAATGCTTAATCGTCATTTAAGGTGAAAAGGGCCAAAAAGGTAGATTTTGACGTTATTTAATTATTTTTCGAATTTTTGCCAAATAACCCTCAATTTTGAGATTTTAGATTCGTGTTCAGCAGTAAAAACTACATTGAAAAACATATGCCGCACACCCATTACAAGTCAACTTCTTTTTTGTGAACCTGTGTAACCTTTAAATGTCTTTTAATATCTGAAATATTATTATATGCATACTGAAAATTGCTAAATGACAGTTAAAATTTATTTCATTATTATTAATTTTGGGTAGGGTAAGTTAAAGTAATCAAACTTTCAACAATCGCAATTGAAAATTTTTGCATACCTTCACGTTTCAGGGGTTTCTGAACATTTTGGCATATCTTACAATTCGAAAAAATAGATATGTGTGTGAGTGTATGTATAGATACAATTTTTGTCTACAATTGCGGGCGTACATACCAATAGATTTGAATAATTCAAAAAATATTCGATTTGTACTGATGGGGAGTATTGGTGATTAGTTTTTGGCAAAGACAGGTCCAGCCGTTACGGATATACGAAGCAAAGAGTGCAGAAAATAGAAATTGAGTTTTTGAGAGAACGGAGTATACGATTGATGATCCAAAAAAACATTTAATTTGTAATGATTGGGAGAAGTGGTGATTAGTTTTTGGCAAAGGCAGGTCCAACCATTTCGAAGATATAGAGGTAAATGTACAAAAAACTAAGCATCCGATTTGAATGATTCAAAAAACTTTCTGCTTGTTTTAACAAAATAATTGCTCTTGGAAAAAACAAATGTTTGTTTTAAATTTTTTTTTCCATTTTTTTATATCGAAAATAATTGCGACTTCAATTTTAATTCTGGCTAAAGTTCTAAAGCTCACTTATATACTTTAAATAAATAGTTTTAACATTGTAATTGAGTTTATATAATTCTCATAAATATTAGACAATGTTACAGCATTTATAATAATCTAATTGAAAACATGTAATATTGCTCGAACATTTCTTTTCGCTCCGGGAAGTTCAAGCAATTTGCCTTAAGG